AAAAAGACTACATGTTTGGATGTTTTTACGTCATAATCTTAGGAGCAAAAGTTGAAGTTCGCTCAAGGCTTATATAATTAGATAATAATTGTATACCTGTGGCGCCATCTAGACTTAAGCACCTAGAGTTGATAAGACATATTTCAATATTTCGTTTCTTTTAAACCTGGACCAGCCTTTTTATTCAGCACAATATCTTTGTTTTTGTTCAATATATATATTGGTTCTCTGATATTTAATTAACATATCAACTCTATTTGATTTATCAGTTTACCATTATTTTATTCCAGTCTATAACATGAGATGCACCTGCCATACGCGCTACTGAGGTCGACTTACTTTTTTTATTTTTTCTAACGCATTTTTATGTTCCCTGATTCTAAGTTTCAAATTTCTGCACGTTTGGCCAATGGGAATTTTATAAATTACATATTTAACAAAATCTAATCCAGGAGAATCATTTCTAGTGACTTAAATATAAGTTTTATCATTTTAAAATCTTCTGTTATATTTATTTGGCTTATATTATGTGATAAAAATAGAGAATAAATTTAACATAATAGTTTAATTAAACCAAATTATTATTAGTTTCAATGTATTTAGTTATAGAAAGTGTTGTTTCAAATACATTGTTGATTTCTGAAATTTAAACGACACCATATATATTATACATATTTTGTACCCCCCCAGCCAGTTTCTAGAAACTTATATTCCCATGACAAGAAATATAATATTACATGTTAAGTTCATTTTAAATTTATACTCTCCAGAAATGTATTTTTGAACGTTGTCCTTATATTGTTGAACACAAAGAATCTAAGCATGTAAACGAATGTAATTTTGAATGTCGCCCTTATACTGTTGGACAGAGAGAATCTAAGCATGTAAACGAATGTAATTTTGAATGTCGCCCTTATATTGTTGGACACTGAGAAACTAAGCTTGTAAACGAATGTAATTTTGAATGTTCTCCTTATACTGTTTGACACAGAGAAACTAAGCTTGTAAACGAATGTAATTTTAAATGTTCTCCTTATATTGTTGGACACAGAGAAATTAAGCATGTAAACGAATGTAATTTTGTATGTTGCCCTTATACTGTTTGACACAGAGAAACTAAGCTTGTAAACGAATGTAATTTTCTATGTTGCCCTTATACTGTTGGACACAGAGAAACTAAGCTTGTAAACGAATGTAAATTTGTATGTTGCCCTTATACTGTTGGACACAGAGAATCTAGGCTTGTAAACGAATGTAATTTTCTATGTTGCCCTTATACTGTTGGACACAGAGAATCTAGGCGTGTAAACGAATGTAATTTTGAATGTTCTCCTTATACTGTTGGACAGAGAGAATCTAAGCTTGTAAACGGAAATCATGAAACATCAATGAGCACGTGTCATACAATGTCCATTTTTGAAATGTATGGATGTAACAAAGAAGTTCTAAAATAAGCTGCAGGATTGTTTATTTGTAATGAAGCACAAAGCTACACAATGGACTATCTGTGCTCTGTCTACCGCGGGTATCGAAACCCGGTTTCTAGCGTTGTAAGTCCGCAGACGTATCGCTGGTTCACGGGGGGGGGGCAGCTGTAGGAAGCAATATTTCATTTCTATATATCTCTTCTATTAAAGTATATATATATATATATATTAACTCTGTGTTTGCTCTCGTACTCAAGGTGTTTTTTATTATTATATGTACACCTACGTCTGTTGGACGCTCTATTTTGTATTCCGTATTAAGTATTACGAAATGTGTGTATATACAGTATTGTGTTCAGTTTCTGCCTGTTGACAAGAAACAAACAACAATGTAACAATTTTTTAATGTATTCTATATTTCATATGTGATTAACCAGTTAGCATGTTACTTGCTTAACGTGTCATATTTTCAGAATATCTGAACAATGACCGATATGAAATAAGTTTCCTAAAACCCAATTTATTATTCGAGAAATAAATTAATACTAAGATAAAACACTAGAATCAATATCTGTGCTCTCTCGCACGAGTGTAATTTTGACTGAGAAATAATATTTTATGTATTCAATAAAAACATGAAATAATGATAGCAAGTAATTTGAAACAGGGAAATTAGATAAATTTGTTTTACCAAATATGAGGTTTTCGGATAAACAGAAATAAATTAAGCAGTAATTATCTTTATTGTTAAACCAGTTATACGTACGAGAATACTTGGAATGTTGAAAGAAAAACCAGTTATACGTACGAGAAGGCTTGGAATGTTGAGAGAAAATCAGTTATACGTACGAGAAGGTTTTGAATGCTGAGAAAGAACCAGTTATACGTACGCGAAGACTTGGAATGTTGAGAGAAAAATGTCGGTAGTAACGGATTGTTTGTTCTTGTATCGAAACCCTATTTTTAGCGCTATAGGCTCTTAGCTTGCAGTTTACTTACGTGCATACAAAATAAATTCCGTTTTTCTCTCAACATTCCAAGCCTTCTCGTACGTATAACTGGTTCTTTCTCAGCATTCAAAACCTTCTCGTACGTATAACTGGTTCTCTCTCAACATTCCAAGCCTTCTCGTACGTATAACTGGTTTTTCTCTCAACATTCCAAGTCTTCGCGTACGTATAACTGGTTTTTCTCTCAACATTCCAAGTCTTCGCGTACGTATAACTGGTTCTCTTTCAACATTCCAAGCCTTCTCGTACGTATAACTGGTTCTCTCTCAACATTCCAAGCCTTCTCGTACGTATAACTGGTTCATATGTGTTTTTATGGTTGGTGTGTCCAACAGAACTGCCATCGACAATGACTAAGAACATTATGTGGTCTTCAAATTCTTGAAGCAGGAAAGTACAAAGACTGCGGACAACAAACAATGGTTAACAGTTGTGTACTGGGATTAATGGTTAACAGTTATGTACTGAGATTAATGGTTAACAGTTGAGTACTGAGATTAATGGTTAACAGTTGTGTACTGTGATTAATGGTTAACAGTTGTGTACTGTGATTAATGGTTAACAGTTGAGTACTGGGATTAATGGTTAACAGTTGAGTACTGGGATTAATGGTTAACAGTTGAGTACTGGGATTAATGGTTAACAGTTGTGTACTGGGATTAATGGTTAACAGTTGTGTAATGGGATTAATGGTTAACAGTTGAGTACTGGGATTAATGGTTAATAGTTGTGTACTGGGATTATTTTATCTTTTTTAGGGTTTTTTAAATGATGTTGTCTCTCAAGTGCATATACATAGTTGGGTACATGATATCACACTTGTGTTTTACCAAACTTGCCTGAAGAAACTTTATATAACTGTGGAAGAAATGCATTGCATTTGAAAGAAACGATGTATGGTAGCCTACATCTTCAGCGTCATTGTTTATACTTGGTTTATCACTTAATTCAATACAGATGGCTTAGGGAAGAAGAAAAATCCCGTTCGTTTTTGATCGTTTCTCCAGACAATCTATTCATCTGTGATAAACAACATGTTATAATTCATTCATGGACTATTTGATTATCTTAAGATCCCGATCAGCGAGAAACACATCCTTGGGGCTGCCGTTCGCAATTTAAAAAAAAAAAAAACTCAAAAATAAAAGGGGAAAGTGCGCAATGGGTGCGGAATGATCTAAAAAGCCGAGGGCAACTTTCAGAATTTAATAATCCTTTCTTGTCGCCTAGAAATAGGCGAAAACGTTAGGCTACCTCCCGACTTCCCAGAAACTTCGTAACTTTGGTCATACTTGCGCTGCGCAAAAACATAAAACTGATTTCGAAACAGCTGAATTTTTTACACACGGCAGTGTTATCCGGTTTTTTTTTGTGCTTTTCCGCGCAAAAAAAATGATTCTGAAATTTTAATTTTTGTCCGCCAAAAAAACTAATTTTGCGTGGGATTCTGACTGACTGGGTTCTTAATAATATAATGATTGTTCGTGTTAATAAAATAATGGCTATATGGAATGATGGATGACAGTAAACATATTGTTCACACATAGCCATACTTAGATAAGATAAACAAATAAAAGTTTGTGTGAAAAACATCTGACTGCCTTTAATACTAAGTACTGGCCCGGCAAACGTGTTCGCCCTTTCAGCCGTGGGGGCGTTATAATGTGACGGTCAATCCCACTATTCCTTGGTAAAAGAGTAGCCCAAGAGTTGGCGGCATGGCCAGGTAGTTAGGTGGCTCGACTCACAATCTGCGGGTCGCGGGGTCGACACTCCGTCACACCAAACATGCTCGCTCTTTCAGCCGTGGGGGCGTTATAATGTGACGGTCAATTCCACTATTCCTTGGTAAAAGAGTAGCCCAAGAGTTGGTGGTGGGTGGTTGTGATGACTAGCTACCTTCCCTCTAGTCTTACACTACTAAATTAGGGACGGCTAGCGCAGATAGCTCTGGTGTAGCTTTGGGGGAGATTCATAACAAAATAAAACAATACTGGTACAACGATGATACGTTAGCCCTTCTTAATTTTTTTCATTCCAATATAAATATGAAATATTTCTTAAAGGAAATTGCATCTAAAAAACCATTTCAAACGATAGAGTGTTATGTAATTACAGATTAAATTATCAAGTTTTTAATTATTATTATTTTTTTTTTTGCCTTTTCAGATTGAGAACGTCGGATGAGGTTAACATTTGCTGTCTGCCCTTGAACTTCGACCCAGAATCCTGAGTGTCGGAAAACTATTGATATTCAAATTTCTGTAGTCATTCTTTATACCTACCTTTCCGGAATCGATTTGGAAATCAGGAAAAGTTTCGGTATTTCTCATTACTCCATTATCTGTCCTGTAATTTTATCATTTCTTCTTTGGTCCTCCAGTGGCACAGCGGTATGTCTGCGGACTTACAACGCTAGAAACCTGGTTTCGATACCCGTGGTGGGCAGAGCACAGATAGCCCTTTACGTAGCTTTGTGCTTTACTACAAACAACAGCAGTAAAAAAAACAAAAACGTTGATACGTTAGGAGTTATAGATATTTGTATTCTAAATGACCAAATATGTCTACTTTAGCTAAAGGAGAAACAACAGGTTTTTTAAATTTATCATTCGTCAACCTTTCAACCATTACCAACAACACAAAGGCTGATGTTGTACAACGCGATGAGACAGTAGCTCGTATAGAGGTCGCAGTCTTGGCGACAATCTTCACATTAACTGTCATTGGTAACACGATAGTCTTGGTGGCTTTGGTAGTGCGACGAATCAAAATGACTAGAATGTATTATTTTCTCCAACATTTGTGTATTTCAGATCTTATCACTGCTTTTTTTCACGTCTTGCCTCAGCTTGCATGGGACGTTACATATCGTTTCTATGGTGGAAACGTGTTGTGTAAGATAGTGAAATACATGCAAATTCTAGGCCCTTACTTATCATCCTATGTCCTGCTGGTGACTGCGATCGATCGTTACCAAGCTATTTGCTTTCCGCTAACAAGCTGTGTGTGGACTCCTCGTAAATCCAAGATCATGATAGCTAATGCTTGGATTATCTCAATTCTTTGCTGTTTTCCTCAGATATTCATCTTCTCTTATCAGAAAGTTTCGGAGGATCCCGTTACTTTTGACTGCTGGGGAATTTTCATTCAGCCGTGGGGAGAAAAGGTTTACGTTCTGTGGTACGCTGTGTCTCAGTTTTTCATACCACTCGTGGTTATAGCTTTCACTTATATACGTATATGTAAAAGTGTTTGGTATAATCTTCAAATGAGACGTCAGGCTTCTAACGACGTTGTTGCCAGTAACAACAACACAGTTCCTGATCGGAGAAGTGATTCGGAACTCGCAATACGCTCAGTTGTGCTACTTGTAAGAAGATTCAGGAGGCGCGGCCAAGTTGAAATTTGTCTAGCTAGAAATTCTAATACTAGAAGAAATCATTGTGAAACCTTTACTGTTCCCAGAAGTCACTGCATGCGTGGCTTGTCACGTTCCAAAGTCAAGACATTTAAGATTACCGTTGTCGTTATAACTTGCTACATTATTTGCTCAACCCCGTTCATTATAGTACAACTTTGGGCTTACTGGAGTCCAAATGCCAAGAATTCATCTATTTGGAAAGGTAAGCTTTTCTACAATAGCATCATGATCTTTTAACAAACAATGTATTTTTTTACAAACTCATTGCTTAAGAAAAAATATAAATTGTAATAATGATATTTATTATTTAATTATCACCAAAATTATTAGGCCGTCAAGAAATTAATGTCGCGTTTTGGAACACTTTCATTAACCACCCCCCAAAAAACGTACATCATGTATAATAGTTAAACGAACTGCCTAAACGTCACGTTAGTATAGCTTATATAATGGTAAAGTTTAGTATACTCTAATCCCTTATAGTGATGACACACGACGAGACATACATTAGGCATGTAATGCTGTTTGAATACAAGAATGGAAACAACGCCTCTGTCGCCGCAAAGAATATCAAATAAGTTTATGGAAATATTTTGAATGTTCGTAATTGTCAACGATGATTCAGCAAATTTT